GCCTGGCATATAAGACTTGCCATGAATTGGGTCCTCCCTCCGTGTCCAGCCTCATCTTCTGCCCCTCCTGCCTCACACTGATTTGCCTGTAATCCTATGTACACAGAGGGCTTTCCTGCCCCACGTCTTTGCTTGGGCTGTTCTCTTTGACTCAGATGCCCTTCCCATTTTCTTTTTTTCTCTTTCTTTCTTCTTCTTTTTTTAACTAAAGTGCACTCATGCTTGAAGCCTCATTTCAGGGATCACCTCCTTCAGAACGCCTCCCTGAATCCCCAAGTTGGCTCAGTGCCCTGCTTGTGTTCGGCAGCATTTGGCCCACACCTTCACTGATGATAGTAGAAATGCCTATGTGTGCAGCTCTCCACCCCTGCTTAGTAGTGCCTTGGAGGGAAAACCCCATATCATATTTTATTTTGTCCAGTGGCCTTTAGGACAGGCCTGGCAAATCACAGGCACTTGTTAATGTTTGTAAAACTGAACTGATAGGAAAGAGAATATTTGGGTGGGAGACAGCCTTGGGCAATCAGGATGCCTTCAGGAAACCTGGGGAGCAGTCAACTCAACCAAATGGTTGGTTCTCCTGTGAGAGTACGTAGGACAGCAAGATTGCTTCTAAGACCACAGAAGACTGGAAGCTGACTGGGGCTCATGGATTTTCTGCAACAGATTGGGACATCCTAGTAAGGTGGAGTGGTTAGGACCATCAACTTTATGTCATCTCTATGTGAGCTCTGGTTCTGCTACTTCTTTGCTTTATACTTTGAGTAAATGACTCAAATGACTTAACTAAGACTCAGTTTCCCAAAATGTAAAATAGGGATTAAAATAGTACTGATCTCTAACAACAACTAACAGGATTGTTTGAAGATGAAATACTAGGTTTGAACTTTATGCACACAATAACTTCTTTTAAGCGTTAGTTACCGTCATTAATACCTTCCTTGTTTTGGGCAGTTCTGGGGATCTCAAGCTGGGTCACCTCCATGAGTATGCCTTAGGACTGATTAAGAGCTTTCTGGAAACACCAAAGATCAGTTGGGTCTCTAAGGGAGTGCAGTGAACCACCCAGGAGGTGGGGATCTGTGTCAATCAGTGTCTGGGGCTGGAGTTATGGCACAAAAATGACCATTGGCTTGTTCATCAGAGACATCCCCTCTCCCTCTAACTTCTCAAGCAGAAACCATCTCCTGGCAGAGCTGGAAAGAGCAACTAGGCATCCAGCGGTCGTTTTTCACCTTCAGTTCTAACCACTTGGTCCTGGCAATCCCTGACCACTTTCTGGCCTTGTTTTCTTTTATTTGTTCCTTCAGTTCATCTGTTGTCTCAGGGAACAGTCTTTCTAAACTGACCTCTGATTATGACCACATGATAGCACAGTCCCCATAAAAACCTGTTGCTATAGGTGTCTTTGGGACCGAGGAGAATAAAGACCACGATCCTCCTTAATTGTCCCAGTGAGTAAGAGCAGTCGGAGTCCTCTCCCCCGTCGATCTGACTGTCCCGTCCCCTGACTGCAGCAGGCCAGCCTCTTCCCTAACCTGTGGCTAGCCCACCCCTCTGGGCTTAGCCAGTTGTGCAGCTGCCGCTGCCTGTCACCGTGTTGGCTCTTGATTAAAGAGCTGCTCCAGCTGGGCCCACCTGCTGTCCCCTCCTGTGTGGGGCTCATCAGAATTCACAAAGTGTTGGGTTTTCAGAGGTCAAGGCAAGGAGCCAAGATCCATGTCTGTCCGCAGTTCTCCAGGTAGGTGAGTGCTAAACCTATGAATAGGGTCTCTGTGCGCATCACATGTTATGGGGGCATTTTCAGGCTTTGAATATGGGTACCGATCACCTCCAGCCTCTCTGCTCCTGTACAGTCGTTGTCATAGCGTCAGTGAGGTCAAAACCCCAAGCACCTGCTGGGATGACCCCTGCTACCTGGACTAGTGGGGATTATGGGCCTCAGCAGTTGGCTCCCGTTCTGAGGAATACAAAACCAAGTTAATCCACAGAGCCCTTGGGAGGAGAGCCTTCAGGATTACCATATGCACCAGGGTGTGTTCCAGGGGGAACTTCTCTTTGAGTACAAGCCTTGGCAATTGAAAGAGGTCCTATGTAGCCTCTCAAATCTAGTGAGATCTATTTTTTTCTAAATGGCTACGATTCAGACTGTAAAATGACTTTTAAGAAGGCTGATTTCTGAGTGTGTTAGTCTGCTCAGGCTGCCATAACAAAATGCCATAGACTGAGTGGTTTAAACAATGAAAATTTGTCAGGAGGCTTGGATTCCAAAATCAAGACACTGACAATTTGATTTCTGGAAAGAGGTCTCTTCCAGGCTTGCAGATGACTGCTTTCTCCCTATGTCCTCCCAAAATGGAGCGCTCTCTTTCTTTTTCTGTCTCTTGTCTTCTTAAATGCCACCAAACCTATTGGATTAGAACCCCACTCTTATGACTTCATTTAGCCTTAATTACCTCCTAAAAGTCCTATCTCCAAATAGAGTCACATTATGGATTAGGTCTTCAACATAGGAATTGGCGGGGGGATTGTACAATTCCATCCATAGCAGTGAGGAAGCTTCCCTAGGGCCACATTTATTTATTCCAAAACATAACATTTACTAAGCACCTACTAACTACCTACTAAGGATACCATGATAAACAGAATAGACATAGTCTTTGCCTTTTTGTCATAGTTTAATGGATGAGTTAGTCATCAATCGTATAATCCCACAAATACATATGTAATTTCAAAATTTTGTAAGTGCCATGAAGAAATTAAAGGAAAGGAGTTGACCATTTTAGGGTGAAGGAAGGTTTTGTGAGAAAGTGACTTTCAAGCTGAGAGCTAAAGCATTGTTACGAGTAGGGGTGCAAGGAAGAAGTGATATTTTTGGTCATGGGTCATGTTATGGGCAAAGGTCAAGCATTCTTCCATTACTAACAGTACTCCTACATGCTTGTTACAGAGGTGGAAACATGGGCAAGTTGTTTTTTTTAAGGTATTGAATAGTTATTTGCAGTCTCCTCCCATCTGAATGAGGCAATGAGTAGCAAGATAACTGTAGTTTCAGCTGAATTTCTTCCATTCTTCTGAACTCATGTTCACTTTTTGGTGTCTTGAGGTCAGCAGAGGAAGCTGAATTTCACCCCGAAATCTTGCCTACAGATTAAAAAAACTTATTTAGAGTCACTTGCATGTTGTTTATAGTGCTTCCTACCACTTGGCCCTTGCAGAGTTTGGATTTCAAGTTAGAGTGGCTGGTTGATCTTCATCTTCTTGTAACTGGATGCCTAAACTCTTTGATAAGGCTGTCTTGCTGGGGGGCTAAGGACTGCTATGGACTGTGCCTTGGGCACCACTTACAGGGCTTCGGTTGAGCTACATGACAGGTAGTATTCACTGCAGAATCAATTCTCTTGATTTCTCAAGCAATCTCAGAATTACAACTTGCCTCCCTAAATTTTCATCTGGGGAAGGAGTTTTTCCCAACTGGGCTCAACTGCACACAAAGCAAGGTGTTCCATTTGCAGGGGACTAGTCCAGGATAACAGTTCAGTTCAGCGTGTACTCCTGTAAACTTATGTATTGCAAGATTCTTGAGTATGATGACAGTGTGGTAAGGAAGGCTGAAAACCCTAGAAACAGTAGAAGTGGAGATGAAGATTCCTGTTATACTTGGCCAATTTTAAGTTAATTCTTGAGGATTCTCACAGATAACAAAAGGGTTGGGAGGCAGGACTAAAGGGGTATCAGTTAAGTTTCCATTACCAGTATTCCCAGCTATTTTAAGCCATTTTTCTACTGACTCTACCAGATGGTCCTGAGGACAGAGCAGCTATTTGAGCCTCCCAGTGACATCTATTTTTCCAAGTGAGAGACTGCCCCATATGTTAGTACAATATGTCACTCAAGATGAAGCATCAGTTTGTATTGGTGGGAACCTGCCATTTGTTGTCCTCCTTTTTAAAAAAAAAAAAAAACTTTTTATTTTTTATTGGGGGTATAGCTGATAAATAATGTGATAGTTTCGGGTGAACAGCGAAGGGACTCAGCCATACATATACAGGTATCCGTTCTCCCCCAAACTGTTCTCCTTTTCTTCATGCCTTTTTCTGCCTCTCTGATCTCTTCTAGGTCTCTGGCCTGTCAGGAGGACCGTTGGTGCTGCAGTGGAAGCCGGCGGCTAAGTCTTGTGTATGGCGTGGTTAAGGTTGCAGCCTCTCACCTCTGCCTTCCTCCACTTTGGGCTGATTACCTTTGTGCTCTTCCTGAATAGTCTTCGGGCAGAGGCTGGCGGCTCAGGGGATGTGCCCAGTACGGGGCAGAACAATGAGTCCTGTACAGGGTCATCGGACTGCAAGGAGGGTGTCATCCTGCCAATCTGGTACCCAGAGAACCCTTCCCTTGGAGACAAGATTGCCAGGGTCATTGTCTATTTTGTGGCCCTAATATACATGTTCCTCGGGGTGTCCATCATTGCTGATCGCTTCATGGCATCTATTGAAGTCATCACTTCTCAAGAGAGAGAGGTGACTATCAAAAAGCCCAATGGAGAGACCAGCACAACCACCATTAGGGTCTGGAATGAAACTGTCTCCAACCTGACCCTTATGGCACTGGGTTCCTCTGCTCCTGAGATCCTCCTGTCTTTAATTGAGGTGTGTGGTCATGGGTTCATTGCTGGTGATCTGGGACCTTCTACCATTGTCGGCAGCGCAGCCTTCAATATGTTCATTATCATTGGTATCTGTGTCTATGTGATCCCCGATGGAGAGACTCGATCACTCAAGATGAAGCATCAGTTTGTATTGGTGGGAACCTGCCACCATTTGTTGTCCTCCTTTTTAAAAAAAAAAAAAAACTTTTTATTTTTTATTGGGGGTATAGCTGATTAATAATGTGATAGTTTCGGGTGAACAGCGAAGGGACTCAGCCATACATATACAAGTATCCGTTCTCCCCCAAACTGTTCTCCTTTTCTTCATGCCTTTTTCTGCCTCTCTGATCTCTTCTAGGTCTCTGGCCTGTCAGGAGGACCGTTGGTGCTGCAGTGGAAGCCGGCGGCTAAGTCTTGTGTATGGCGTGGTTAAGGTTGCAGCCTCTCACCTCTGCCTTCCTCCACTTTGGGCTGATTACCTTTGTGCTCTTCCTGAATAGTCTTCGGGCAGAGGCTGGCGGCTCAGGGGATGTGCCCAGTACGGGGCAGAACAATGAGTCCTGTACAGGGTCATCGGACTGCAAGGAGGGTGTCATCCTGCCAATCTGGTACCCAGAGAACCCTTCCCTTGGAGACAAGATTGCCAGGGTCATTGTCTATTTTGTGGCCCTGATATACATGTTCCTCGGGGTGTCCATCATTGCTGATCGCTTCATGGCATCTATTGAAGTCATCACTTCTCAAGAGAGAGAGGTGACTATCAAAAAGCCCAATGGAGAGACCAGCACAACCACCATTAGGGTCTGGAATGAAACTGTCTCCAACCTGACCCTTATGGCCCTGGGTTCCTCTGCTCCTGAGATCCTCCTGTCTTTAATTGAGGTGTGTGGTCATGGGTTCATTGCTGGTGATCTGGGACCTTCTACCATTGTCGGCAGCGCAGCCTTCAATATGTTCATTATCATTGGTATCTGTGTCTATGTGATCCCCGATGGAGAGACTCGAAAGATCAAGCACCTACGAGTCTTCTTTGTCACTGCTGCTTGGAGCATCTTTGCCTACATCTGGCTCTATATGATCCTGGCTGTCTTCTCTCCTGGGGTGGTCCAGGTTTGGGAAGGCCTCCTCACTCTCTTCTTCTTTCCAGTGTGTGTCCTTCTGGCCTGGGTGGCAGATAAGCGACTGCTCTTCTACAAATACATGCACAAGAAGTACCGCACAGATAAACACCGAGGAATCATCATAGAGACCGAGGGTGACCACCCCAAGGGCATTGAGATGGATGGGAAAATGATGAATTCCCACTTCCTTGACGGGCACCTGGTGCCCCTGGAAGGGAAGGAAGTGGATGAGTCCCGCAGGGAGATGATACGGATTCTCAAGGATCTGAAGCAAAAACACCCAGAGAAGGACTTAGATCAGCTGGTTGAGATGGCCAACTACTATGCTCTCTCCCATCAGCAGAAGAGCCGCGCCTTCTACCGGATCCAAGCCACCCGAATGATGACTGGCGCGGGCAATATCCTGAAGAAGCATGCAGCAGAACAAGCCAAAAAGACCTCCAGCATGAGCGAGGTGCATGCTGATGAGCCGGAGGACTTTGTCTCCAAGGTCTTCTTTGACCCGTGCTCTTACCAGTGCCTGGAGAACTGTGGGGCTGTGCTCCTGACAGTGGTGAGGAAAGGCGGGGACACGTCCAAGACCCTGTATGTGGACTATAAAACAGAGGATGGTTCTGCCAACGCGGGGGCTGACTATGAGTTCACAGAGGGCACGGTGGTTCTAAAGCCAGGAGAGACCCAAAAGGACTTCTCTGTGGGCATCATCGATGATGACATTTTTGAGGAGGATGAACACTTCTTTGTGAGGCTGAGCAACGTTCGCATGGAGGAGGAGCAGCCCGAGGAGGGGATGTCTCCCAGAGTACTCAATAGTCTGCCCTTGCCTCGGGCTGTTCTGGTATCCCCTTGTGTGGCCACAGTCACCATCTTGGATGATGACCACGCGGGCATCTTCACTTTTGAATGTGACACTATTCATGTCAGTGAAAGCATTGGTGTCATGGAGGTCAAGGTTCTGCGGACATCAGGTGCCCGGGGCACAGTCATCGTCCCCTTTAGGACAGTAGAAGGGACCGCCAAGGGTGGTGGTGAGGATTTTGAAGACATATATGGGGAGTTGGAGTTCAAGAATGATGAAACCGTGTAAGTAACCCTTCCATAGTCCATCTGCATCAATCCATGTCGCCCCCTTCTCTCTTGCCCCGTGCTTTAAAGCTTTTCCGGGTACTTGTGTTAATGTCAAACTTTGGTTCCATCTCAGGTACGCCAGATCAGCAGACACTGCTGCCAGGCTCTGCTTCCAAAATCTCCTTCAGTTTTCTCACTTTAAATTGTTTTCGGGCAAGGAATGCTATGGCAGGATCTAAGCACACAGGATCTAAGAACATTTTGTCCTCTGAAACTCAAAATGATAGCCTGTGGGGGTGTGGGATGATGGAAGTTCTGCTGTCAGATTTGGGGAGATTCTTGTCATGAAACATGATCTAGGAGACTGCTTGGGTCTCTCCCTCCTCTTCTCAGGCCAAGGGCTTACATGAGCTTTGAAGGCAGTCCTTTCCATTCTGAATCAGTGATAGTCCAAGCTGGACATCCTCAAGAACATGAGTGGCATTGGCTTATGTTTTTCCAGTACCATATTGCAGTTGTATTGTATAAGCAGATTTCAGGCACCTCTCCTTCAATTTGGAAATTGCAAAATTGATTGAAACTTGGCAGTCTCTTTAAGCATCAATAGGCTTATTTTATGGTGTGAGGCTTGCCCAGTCTAGGTGAAATGAATCAATATGGCTTGAGTCCTGGAGGTATATTGGAGAAGCAGAGCTCCCAGGGCAGCAGCCACCAGTTTTTAGTCACAGGTCTAAGCTCCAGAATCTGGCTAAGCAGTGGAGGAGAAGCCTCTTAGGAATTGTGGGGAAAAATACATCTTCTGTGTGGTCATCTCTTTTCACAGTCCAGAGTTCTCCTAAAACACTTCTCAGGTCACTGGCCCATTTAGTCTTTTAGACACTGTGGGTCTTACATTTCTATTGCCTCTGTCACTCTGAGGCCTCTCTGCATTGAAACATCTTGTACTGGGTGTTCTGTCCTGTTCTCGGATGGATATCTCTAAAAAATAAAGCAGACTGACTCTGCCCAGCAGACCAGACTTTCCAGGGTTGCCAAGAAGGAAGGGGATGAGAAAGGGGAACCTTGTCTCAGAATTGCTGCTCACATCCACAAGCAATAAGCAGTAGCAAGGGAAGATATGAGGAACCAAAGGGACACATATAGGAAGTGGGAGGTGTCAAACTGCTCCAAGAACCTGCTAAAAACACTTTCAATGGGAAATGAAAGCTCTCATCTGTAAAGTGGGAATAGCAATAATTTCCTTGCCTCGAGGTGGGCTCTTTTTTGCAGTTCCTCTCAGCTCTAGGATCTTCTGAACTATAGACATAGGCGCTCAGTGTAGGTCATAACCTGCACCAGCCAGATGCAACAGAGGGATACTGTCCCCTGAATTGAAATAGCCATTGACAGATTGATTTATCAGAGCTCTGTTTAGTCATTTTGTGGGAAAGGATAATCTCTTGTTAGCATTAATAAAAACCTGTGCCTTTCTAGAGAATACTATCCCTTTTGGTGTGCCCTGGGGAGGATGCTTATACATCCAAATGAAGGCCCTCACGGCAAGGAAAACCCCCATGAAATTTCATGCGTATTTATGACAGTGTCAGTAGATAAGTCACTGTCAGGCATTAAATGACCTCAGCATTGGCCATAGCTGGAGAGACTTGTGGTTCCTCCCAGTCAGTACCAATCTGCTGAGGGCACCGAAGAGTAGTGTTTTGAGAGATCAGAAGTTGGGATCCCAATTTCTTCACCTGATTAGTAATCAACTGTGCACCTGGGATCTCTAAATATGACTAAACCTTCCTCACACCTATGTATGTTTTCAGCTTGATTACTGTCTCGGTGTAAATGAGCCTCATGAATGATCACTTCTGGGTAATATTGGTTATAAATATGTATGAACTTCTACATGTTTGAGATGCTGGCCCAGGTATTCTAAGGTTTCCCATCTTTTCCTTTGCATTATTTTTTTAGACTTCAGTAGAATTTAGACTACCCTCTTGGCCTTCTTCACTGCAGAAGAATGAGTCCCAAACCTGCTAATCTATTCTCACAAAAGGAGGCCTACTTTTGATACTTTAAATTGTAATTTTACAGCTAGAGACAGTATGATACAGCAGGAAAACCAGGGGCTCTAAGTATAGTACTCTGTGGATTAGGATTCTGGCTCTGTACTGATTTAACCACATTGGGGAAATTTTATTAATTTATGAGATTTTTTTTCCCCATTGATAAAAAGGAGATCATAATGTCACTCTAGCAGGTCTATTATAATGATTCATGATATTGTATGCAATGTTCCCTGTACATGATATGTACTCAGTAAACAAATTCATTAATAGTAATATTGATGAATTAACACTATTCTTCAGAAGACACCATTGAGGGTATCAGGTTACTTGATTTCCTGTGTCACCCTAATTAATAAGCATGCTAGTTTTTTGGTTACCATGAAGCTTACTAATCTAAACTCATAAAATATTGGAGCCAGAAAGGACCTTAGAATAACATCTAGATATTCTAGAGTAGTGTTTCTCAAATTTTAATGTGCTTGTAAACCAGCCAGGCATCTTACTAAAATGCAGATTATGACTCCCAAGGTCTAAAGTAGGGCTTGAGATTCTTCATTTCTAACAAGCTCCAGATGCTTCTGGTTCCCAGAAGCAGAGCTGAAAGGTTCTAAAGCTCTTGACCAAACCATGAAACCTAGGAAGGAAAGTGGCCTTTCAGATGAGTTGCATGATTGGATCATGAATGCTTGCTTTCCAGTTCCAGTGTTCAACTCCATCTTAACTAGAATCTAACTCTTACCCTGAGACCCTGCTAATTACAGTAACAGTCTGAACCCTGAAATTGAAACCTTCAAGGGACTCAGACAGAAGCTGTGTGATGCCTGGAACAATTTCACTTTCTATTCCTTCTCTCTTTGTGTAGCTTTATTTTCCCACCAAGCCCGGTGGCCCTGTCACTTTTGCCCTCACGATAATACTCTGAATCTTCAGAACGAAGCCAGGCCTATGCTCTATCAATAATATTAGGTCCATGAATTCATTCATTTAGTTTTATGCTTTACTTCTTCAAACGTGTCCTTAGCACCATGGTAGGATGGAAAAACAAACGCTGGTGTCTGACAAACAGGTGTGAATCCGTCACATATCAGCTGTGTAACTTTAACAAGTCATTTCAGCTGTCTGAGTCCCAGATATTTTGTTGCAATGACAGGAACAACAATACCTATCCTTCGAGATTATGATTAGTACTATATACAGAAAATGCACCTTAGCGCAGTGCCTAAGTGCATCAAAAGTGCTCAGTCACTCAACAGACATTTATTAAATATCTGCTACATCCTAGGTACATTACCAGTACTGGAGAGAAATAAGCGACTAAGATAAGGTGGCATTTTAACTCCCAAGGATCTTATTCTCCAGTGGAGAGGGTACAAGGTATACAGACAAATCAAAACAGTTAGGAGAAGTATAGTTTGAAATTAGCTCAATAAAAGGGGAATGAAAACTTCTCCTGTTCGTGACACCACTAAAGTTTTAAGGTCACCTTCATTAAAGATGTAGCAGTGAAGTAGGTGAAGTGTGGGGGTGGGTACATGATTACTTTAAACCCACATTACAATAAACTCATGATATTTGAGAAGGATACTACTGACATCTTTGTGGTCTGGAAGAATCCTGGTAGTTTGTGACTACCGCTGCAGCACATCCTGGGGATTATGGCCTGCAAGCCTCCTGCATGTTAATCTCACTCACTGAGCACATGACTTACTCCTGTATCCCAGGTTCACAGAGCGCCTCTGCAAAAATAAGATTATTACAGCTCATTGACCTTTGGGGTCTCTGGGAATAGCCAAAGCCTCAGATGTCAAATATGCAAATGGACAGATCTACTGTAATTAAATAGCATGGGCCTCCTTCGAAGAATAATGGAGTGTAAGTTGTACCACACATTTCCCAAGCAAATATAGAGTGTTGAAACTGGAAGGTATCTGTCCTCCCAGTTTTACAAATTATGAAATGTGAGAATCTGAGATGCAAAGTGACTTGTCCAAGATCACACAGGTAGATATGATAGAATATTAGACTTTAGAAAGGACTTTTTTGGATGCTGCTGATTTAATGTCTCCTTCTCCCCATTTGGACTTTTCCATTTTATTTTTATCCATCAAAATGTTAACTTTGGAAAGAATATGGAAATTCATGGGTGAAAGATGCTCCGGAAGGGCACATCCAGGAGTGTTTATGTGAGTAATGTCTTAACTAAGAATAATAATATATTATAGACTATTTTTAATCTCTTGGTTCATCTTGAAATTGTTCAGGAAGGAAAATATTGAACTCATAGAAAATAGTTTTAGAAGCTTTATCTTAGTGATCTCTTGCTGAAAAAAGTGACAAGTATAGCTGAGATATCTCTTGGTGATGGTTAACTTCAGGCTAGACCTTGTTCCATGAAATAGTGCAGTATTTTTTTCAGAATGATGCAGGCCATTCTCTTCCAGCGGTGTTTTTTCTGTAAAGTTTTAGCCAAAGGCATCTTCCCATCAAAACCTATACAAATAAGGAGTTATCCAGGACACAATTTTCAGATTCTCCAACTTGACTAAACACAGTCGGGTTTTTGCTTTTTCTTTGGCTCAGCAGAGTAACAGGATAGTTTTTATCTGGCCACGGAGGAAGATAAGGGGCTTCCCAGGTAGCGCTAGTGGTAAAGAACCCTCCTGCCAATGCAGGAGACACAAGAGATGCGAGTTCAAGCCATGGGTTGGGAAGATCCCCTGGAGGAGGGTATGGCAACCCACTCCAGTATTCTTGCCTGGAAAATTCCATGGACAGAGGAGCCTGGTGGGCTACAGTCCATAGAGTTGCAAAGAGTCGAATACCATTGAAGCGACTTAGCACACACGCGTGCGTAGAGGAAGATCATTTGTTTCTAGAATGTCCTTTCTGCACTTGAGAAAAATCAGAAGCTGCACACTTAGTGTGGGAAGGAGTGCAGTGGAGGTAAAGATATTTCTCCCT